ATATTAGGAAACAAAACCCTTTAATTTGTAATATTGAAAAGGTGTCTAAAAAATGGAGCAAGAGATGGAGGTACATTGATCAACCTTGGCCAGAAATAGGGACGTTTAATTTGTCAGTCATTGAAACGATGAGAACTTTAATAAGCACACACAAAGCACATCAAAAAACAGGAAAAAGGGGTGTAAAAAGGAAGGAGAAACGTGANAGGAAAAAAATCAAGTCTTATTCACTTTTGAGTTAATGAGGAGAACAATATATTGTTTGCAGATTCTATTTGTGATTTAATGTATGTGGCCATGATACTGTAAATAATTGTAATTATTGAGAAAGGAGCAGGTTTATATAAGGTTTTCTTCTTCCTGCTCCCTTTTCACTCATGCATAGTGTGTGTTAAATGAAAATGTGTTTGTATGTTATAATGAGGAAAATTGTTGAATTGAGTGAATAAAATTATTGATTTTATTAACCCTTAGCTATAACTAACCACATCATTATTTTTGAATCAGTGGATGGAGCTGTGTAAACAGGACCTTACCTTAGTGAACAATATTCAAACTGTTTATCTGGCAYTGTAGTGTGCAAGATTGTGTTTTTGTCAGCTGAAAGCATTTTTAAATGCAGTTCCTTTTAAATTCCTTGAAAAATCTTGGTTTCGTACCTTTTGGCTCTGTAAAATGATAGTTGCTAAAAGACTCCCTATCATAGTCCATTTTACACTGCCTTTCACCGTAACTTTGTGTTAAGCTTTAGACTTACTGTTATTGTCCACCAACAGCTCAATCACAASATCAACTTGAAGGATAAAAGGACAAAACCACCCTCTGGCACAGTTTGTTTGWATTAAAACTGCACACATTTTCCTCGTTAGAGCTTTTCTTATTTTGGCAATTTCTGGTTTATTTAACCTCCTGAAAACCATTTGTAAAAGCTGCCGTGGTAAATTCAGTTTGAACAATTATTGTTTTACTGTACAAACCTTCAATTCTATCATAGAAAACATTGTTTCATTTCAGCAAATAATATATCTTTTTTTTCTAAAACCGTTATGTTTAGCTGTAGATAAGGTTACAAATTGCTGCAACAGAAACAATTATCAGGTAAGAACAACACAAACATAAAAAAATCTGTGAAAAAAAAAGAAAGTAAAAATTTACAAGGCAATTAAAGCGATGGAATAAAAAATGTTACTGCTTGTTTAATCTGAACATTATCAAGGGAGTAGCTGTTCCGGAGGTTTAGAGCACAGATGGCAAACATGCAGTCTCCTTTGAATCATAACCTTGTCCTCAGGACAACCAGACCCAGGAGAGGAGATCAAAGAGGTTTAACATTTTTATAGAAGGGCAGAAACACATGAAGCTGGAGATCCCTACAGTTAACTGCATCGTGAATGTTGTCGAATTAGTTTACAGCTTAGGATTTTCACTTTTTGTACTTCAGAATATTTAAGTTGTGTTGGTATTATTTACACTTGTTCATTGGTGAGTGTGTTTTTTTTTCCTGTCGTATTGTTTCCCAGTTTGTCAGCCATCCTTTGTCCTCAGCTTTTTACACCTGTTCTCCATCTGCTGACGTGCTCACCTGCTTCTCAACCAGTAATCACACCTCCCATATAAGCTCTTCCTCAGTTTCTCAGGTGTTTTGACAGAACTTATTGTTTTTGAGAGCAATGAATTATTTTGTTTGAGTTGAATGAATAGTATTTTGGATCTTTATGAGAAGCTTAAAATATGTAAACACTGTAGTTTGCAGCAAATAAAATCAGGACTAAAAAAGGTCTAAACAATCTATTACGAACTGAAAGGAAAGCTACAAGTGGTCACAACATTTAAGTTGCATTTACTGTTTAGTTGGAAATAAACAAATTAAACTTAGCACAAAAAGTAAGGAAATTTGTTTTTGGTAAATTATGTCTTTGTTGTAACAATTCTTCTTGGCAATAAACTGTTTACCATTGGAAATCCTGTTAAATTTCCTGTTAATGTTGCCACATTTGTAAGGAYCATGCATTTGTGGGATGAGCAGTAGAGCTGAGTATGTCAGTTGAACACATGAACAATTTGCGAAATTTCTGTAAATGCCAAACAGCTTATTTTGCTGTTGCTTTTAATACTTGTTAGGAGCTGCAGGTGCAGCTAATCCGGAGCCCAATATGATTTATTGCAAAGAAGAATTAAACAAAAAAATTATCTATTTAACGCAAATGTCCTATTTTTGCACTAAATATGTTTATTCAGTGACAGAGGCAACAAAATYTCCAATAATACTAGTTAACTTATGAACTGAACCAAATATTTATATCGGCTTTATTTTACTAAAACATGAGTTATTGTTGAAATATGCATTTTAGTAATAGTAAAAGARAGGAGTGTTAGTTAGGAGGCAACTTCTTTGTTCCATTTTCTTTTTATCCACGTTGTGTCAGAGTTATTAAGAGGCAGCYGTCTCTCTTGGTGTCAAGTTGTTCCATGT